ACATATTCAGGCGCTAGCAAAGGTTAAACAATGGTCATTTCATTTATCAGAGAAAGCAATCATTGATAACCTTCAGGTAATTTGGCGTCAGCAAAAGCAAGTATCCCTCACCCCAGTGGCGTGGTCATTTCCTGGAGCTCAAAATTATAAACTTAATATAGATGGTGCTTCCATGTGAATTCTTGGTCTAGCAGATGGTGGTGGAGTTATCAAGGACAGCGATGGTGGTCTCATTGCTGCATTTGCAAAAGCATTTTGGTATTGTGTCGAATAACCACGCAGAGTTCTTGGCCCTAGAAGAAAGGATTCAATTAGTTATCCAGAGGGCAAGTTTTCCAGTCCAAAGAGAGTGATTCGGCACTATTTGTCAATGTTATTCAGAATCAATGTCGCGCTCCATGGCGACTACAGACAATCGTTGATAATTGCCGAACCAGACTCTCTTCTTACAGATGGTCTATTGCACATGTTTTCCATGAGGCAAACATGGTTGCCAATGCTCTCGCCAAAAGAGCTTCTGTTGGCCTCAGCGCTACTGCTTGGCATTGCCAACCACCAGACTTAGTTCTTCTTTTTTATTTCAGGATCTGACGCAACTTCCCTACTATAGGGGTGTAAGATAAACAATGTTACTCCTTTTATTTTATTAATGAATAAACAAGTAGGGGGCCTTCTCCCCCATTGACTTACCAAGAAAAAAACTTGCTTAAATAATCCTTCAATGCAAGAACTAGAATATTGTGGATAAGTGATCTTAGGGAGTGCCAATCCTAAACTCGACAGACCACAACCCCATTCAGTTTAGCATTCCCTCTTGGGAAGTTATGGAATGTGCTCCCTTAATGTTAAGGGAACGGAAGTCCATCATTGCGGATCTTTGAGCCTCCCTCGCTCCTATGTTCCCATTTCCGATCCCGAGCTCCCCTCACCCCCATTGCCAGTAACTATAATATTGATTATATGCCTTATATTGATAGGAGATCGCAACTTGATCTCAAGATTTAATGAACACCAGCAAAAGACTATGGTGTTTAAAGGATGAATTTGAGTTCGGTTTCTTGTCATGGCATTACAGTCCCTATTTTTTTTTCTCTTTTATGTGACACTTACTATTTAATTTCTATGGTGAATATGTTATGACATTAAAAAAGTGAAATCATTTCTTTTTTTTTTATGTTTCATTTTGTGTGTGGATGTGTCTATTCTAGGTCTGCTCTCTGACAAATGTACCACCTCCCCCCACCCAATAGTAGTGGGATAAACAAAGCTGAGACCCACCTACAAACCAAACCCATGGAAAACCAATGCCTCGTTACTGTATTTATAGTAGACTTTCAATAACCATTATAGTAATCTGAAGAAAATGACCCACTAAGTTGCACCCTACTTTCCAAACTTGGCTAACAACTTTATCTGAGGCTATAAATGTATTGTAAAGGCCATTATTGAAAGCCACGTGTTGCATGAACCTGCTCTTGCTTTATATTTAAAATATAATAACATGTATAATATATATAATATGTAGCACATATTTAAGGGCTGCTCCCAAACAATCTATCTCATTTACTCCCAATGTAGGTTTTTTAAAGCAGGGGATGATCCACACCCTCCACGTCGATCCACTCGCTTGCTAAAGCTCCCAACAGCTATGGTGTGACCTTTGGAATTTAGTAGTGAATAAACGATACCCCATGTGGTCCTCTGTTTCTGATTCATTTTTATAAGTTTGATACGGAAAAACTGGAATTTTAGGAATATAGTTTTTGAGAGCATGTTACTAGGAGATGGATAAAGGTGAAAACTGGATTGTTGCTGTTGTTTTTATTTGGGAAAAAGTTTACATAAGGATGCAACCTTACTTGTAAAAGTAAGGTTCATTGATCTACATCGTCCATATTATTTGGATGGTGTAGATTTGACATTGTCTCAAAAGACGTACCACTTTCTTGACGTTGTCTTAAAAGATATGTCATATCCAAACCGTCCAACTAAAATAAGTAGTGTAAAACATCGCAATCTTACTTCTACAAGTAAGATTGTCATCTTATACAAACTGCACCCTTTATTTGTGATGGGAGGAATCAATGCTAGGAACCTTGCTGATGATTAGTTTAAACTATTTTGGGGTATGGACGCAATTAGAGAGTTCAAGAGCATTGGGTATCCTACGTTCAAGCTTATTGCTGAGAAATGACAACGTTCTGCTTCTTGATGAAAATAAATGAATATTTATATTGAAAAAGCAATTAATACTTACGGTATGAGGAGTAGGACAAATCCAATTGATCAAGGATATGATCTTGCTAGCTGCTAGCTACTACCTCAAAGTATTACACGTTATGTGCTCCTAAGCGGCCTATAACATAGTTCGCACAAAATACAAAAGTATTAAGAAGTGAAATACTCTATGATACAAACCGGCCTATGGATGTAGTTCGCACAAAATGCCAAAGTATTAATTTCACTCTATGATACAAATTAGCCAGCATTTTCTTATCAATCATCAAGTAGCAAGCATTAATGACTTTGAATCTTGAATGCCTCGGGTATCCTCAGTGGAATCAGAAGAATTGTGTCCATGGGCTGGTAACACTCCATGAGGTGTTGAGTCTAAGATAAAACACACAAGGACAATGACTGATGAAATACCCAGGCATGGTCTGCTTGGTGGTGAGCATATTATTGGAGCACCATTAGCTGTTGGAAGTCGATCAATTGCAAGAAAATATTCAATAAACGATTTTAGAAACCTAATTCTGCCATGGCCGGTCCCAAGAAGGGTTGTGTTATGTACGGCAGCTAGCATCAAACTTTGCCACATCTTTACATGAATCCCTAACCAACCCCAAATAGTTGGGATAGGGCTCCGATGATGATGATGACGATGATGAACTATTTAAGAAACCTATAGGAAGATTAATAGTTGGAGTGTTGCCAAAGACACTTCTCCATGTGTCTTTTATTAACCCCCCATTTAGGCTCATGCTTGGAGCCGTGACAATGCAAGAAAGTCTCGCAAAATTTCCAAGGTGAAGGATTCATTCTTGAATAAGTCTTCACATCAAACAGTTTTAGGACTTGTTCCTAATGAATCCATCTTCATACTTCTTGCATTCTTCCTCATCTGCCTATGTGGTGGCCTATGATGGTTAATAATGGGGCAATGAAATGGGCTTCCTGATTGGTACAATGGCGAATCTTCTAATAGTGATTGTTCGAGATCTTAAGTGTTCCTTCATGAGGAGGCTGAGAACTTCAGTCTAGTCAAGGTCATGCAGCAGCAATTAATACCTATATTGACTGCTCCACCCCATCTTGTGGGTCAATTAAATTAAGATTCATTGCTTTCTAGTCATTCAAAATTGATCAACCAAATAGACCAACCAATCTGGTTGTCACAAAACTCTAAAAACAAAAAAAAGAATCAACTATGACAGTTCTGGTGAGGATAGTTTTATTGACTTATTTTTGTGTATTGCATGCATTGGAGACTTTCTCTTCAATCAATAGGGGTAGACGTTTAGGCAACACTTGCTCTGTAGTCTTACATGTGCATTGATTCTGAACCTGGTCTCACTAGCTATAGCTTGGGAAATTGGTAAGCTGTATTGAACCAGTTTGTGATTTGAATACCCTTGATTTTAGTAGTTCATGGAGTTTATTTCAGGCATCACTCAGTGGGCTGAAACTCTCGCCCAGACTGCTAAGCAATAAGTAATTCTAATGGCTGAGCTTCGATGCCAATTATTGGATATAGATGTATCGATAAGAAATTCAGTTGCATTTTGTCATATCAATGGACCCATTCCCTGCTGACGTATATTACAAAATATCCCTCCATGAAAGTTTAGGTTTGAAAGCAAGATCCACCATGACCATCCATCTACTATTCCTTCCCCTTTCAGGTGAGACAATAGCCACTTGCTGCATAAAGCTTGAGAAATAATTTCCTTAGGAAATTGCTGGTTAGTTACTGCCGCCCATCCCCAATCATGACAGATATTTCAATAACAATGCCTCATTGCTGTTGTTAACTCAGGGCCATGCACGGAAGGCTAGTCCTAAATTTGATGTCCAAGCATTCCATCTCTAAATCATTGCTACAATCTAGAGGATCTTATGAATGTAATCCTCTGGTTAGGACAAGTGGACCTCATCGAGGGATGAAGCATAAAAATAGCGTTATCAACAGCAAAGTGCCATTGAAATGAATGTCCTCATATCCTACCATGCATTGCGTAGACGCCATATCTGATGTAAGAGGGCGATCTTTGCCCTGTAAGCCCACAACAAGGAGCACATAGAGTGCGGCACTGGTGCAAGATAAATAGCTTGTGAACTCTCATGTGTCACAGATAGAGGTGGGACTTCCAATCTGAGCTCCATGAATCATGATGGCTATCTTCCATTCATGAACAGTCCCACCAACCTCAATCAAGAGGTACGCAGGAAGAACATCCCAACAGGCAACTCAAGCAACAGCGAAACTCGTCCTTATTACTCTGCTGGTTTTATTGTCCAAGTTCCTCCCCCATTGATTTGACCTCTCTCTCAGCTCATTTGCAAGATTGCAGCAACGAACATATGATCACATCCTATGATAAAGGTCAAAAACGTTGCCCATATTCATAAAGGGTTTGACAGAGCTATGTCCTGTATATGTAAAGATTGTTCAATACTGGCTGGAGCAATGACCAGCTGAAGGACTACAGTGAAGTGGCAAAATATGTTTTGTAACATGCGTGGTGCTTTTCTCCTTCTTGTAATACATTCCTCAGATACATCTTTTACATCTTCCCTTGGACAACATGGGAAGAGTTTTTATGCATCTACTGTTTTAGGTAAGATCGTATTTCAGTAGCTCGATCAGTAAAAATGTGTTCGGGTTGCAATTGTTGCTTTCTTCGTGATTTCTAATATTATTTACAACGAATTCTATCATTTTGTCCTTAAAGCTCTTTGCAAATGCTCATTAATTGTTGTCTTATCAATGCTTGCAGGTAGTTGATCGCACCACACATGATTTTGAACAAGAAGATGGTGTAATATTTTTGATTGACGACTAGTTCTTCAAATTTAAAAATTGTGAAAGTGTATATGGAAGTAGGACCTTGACTGTAAGAAAATTCAAACATTGGGTTCTCAAAAACAGCCTTCAGAAAACTTCTGGTTTGTACAGTAGGAATCTACTGGTCACTATGAATAAATTTAAAGGCATTTTTTATGATCACTGAGATGAACAAATTGGTAAAATTCTATTTTATGGGTGCGCTGCCCTATTTGTTATTTTACCGGAAAACAAGGAACCGATAGCACATGGGACTAGGCATGCAATTGTATGATGCATGTCATTGTTTTTAAGGGAAAAGTTTATATAAGGTGTATTCACTAGAAAAAGCGGTTTTGTTGGCGAAAAACTTTCAAATCCAATCATCTCGATCTTGAGATACATGGACATTAAAAAAATGGACTTCAAGTTTTGGAAATAGTGCATTTTGTAATGAATAATCTAGACTGTCTTCAGAATTTTCAAGGGGGCGTATATATGCTTTATCTACACGATTTTTGAAGCTTTAAATTTTATAATTAGAGATAATAAATTTCAGGCCATCATAAAATTTTTTGTTGTTGAAACGACGTCTTTTGACACTATTTGAAGTATTTGAAGATGCATTGTACTTTGATTGTTTAGGGCCTAAGCCTTATACAAACTACACCCTTGTTTTAATACGTAGAATCTGGTTTTTGTATCGGCTTTTTTTGTATACCAATCTAAATCGGCTGAATTGGGCAATCCAAATCTGCATAGTTGGGGAAAAATATAGTGAAAAAATAGAAAATGGTGGGAATCGGGGGATTCCACATGCCATAGACCCAAATTGCCCACCAGCCAATTTCGTTTTCAATCAGGTGATTTTCGTTCGACCTACTTTTTAAAACACCGATTCATGCTATCCTATTTCGTATTATCTTTGATGGAAGTGAGATACATTCAGTACCAATCTTTTACATTCTTGATTAGGACCTCGACAGGCCCGAGACATGTATGAGCCCAAAAAGGGCTAAACAAGTTGAAAAACAATTTACAAATTTTTTGTTAAAGTAAAAGCAAACTAAACTATGAACAAAAATAAAGTCTAAAAAAAGATGGATAATTAAATAAAACATGGATGGGAAAAAATTGATTTATTGCTGGAAACAATTCATAAAATTTTAGAAAATAGCAAAATAGAGCATGTGATAAGAAACACTATAAATCATCATCAAAATCATGTATAAACATAAACAAATTTACATATGGAGGGGAAAAAAGATGCAGTATCATTGCATTATCCATATCTGGTGTCATATTGCATTGAGATCTTATTTCTTTTGAGTTTTTTTTTTTTTATTCATGCACAAAAAAAAAAATTAATATAGTTCGGTGGTTCGAAAGTCTAACTTTTGAATTGCCTAAACAGATGTGTTTGGGAGTTTCGAAAATCCAAATTTCAAACCACCTCGAAGCCAAAACAATTGATGTGTTTGGTCAGTTGAAATGTAGGAATTTCCAACGGCCAACACTTTTTCTTTTTCTTTTTCTTCTTTTTAATTTTCTTTTGGCCAGTTTAAAAGTTAGACTTTCAAACTATCCAAACACATCAAGTTTTTGGCATTTTGGGTAGTTTGTGTTAGTCCCAATACAAAAATAGTACTAGAAGTAATACTAAAAAATAAATTAATTAAATAATCAACAAAGATCTTACTTGGATCTGTCTTTAAATCACACAAGGGACTTAAGGTTCCGTACCAAATTCTATAGACCAAGTCATCCATTGATAGGCAACCTTGAGAGTTCCCTTTTTGATGAATCTCATTCACCTTACATATCTCTTTCATCCGTCTCTATTTTTTTCTCTTCATGTATATATATTTTTTTCTTGAGGGATTAACCGTCTTTTATAGAGAACATGTATCTTTTGTAACTCACATCCACAGTCTATAGGAGTTGAGATCCAAGTGTAACTGATACCTTAATTCCCTTAAGTGCAGCAATTATGATTAATAAGTCATTACAAAACTGTTAATTATTTACAATGAGCTAAACCACTAATGACTCACATAATAAGATGTCATCTAAGCATTCTTATAATTCGATAAAACAAATTTAGAAATTAAATAAATTGTATATATCTATAATATAGGAAAAACTATTTTCACAATGAATTTAAATACGCTACTGGGTTTTCATTACAGTGACATTAGATTTTTCCTCCAGTTCTACATCCCATTAAAGCTAAAAAATAGATCAAAGTATATGGCATTGTCTCATGTTAATCACGTAAGATTTCACATATACTACAATATGGCTTTTATACTATTATTGAAAAACAAATTTCCAAGAGGAAAGATTCTGATAGGCCAAATTTCTAATGTTTTGTTAGTTAGAAGTTCAAATTGGGGTGAAAATGGAAATAATCAAACTCAAAATTAGGACCCCAATGCGATGTCCCAAAATATGGCAGTAATATCACATCTAATAAAAATATTCATACATTAGTCTAGTAAAAATTATATAATTTTTATGATTTTTTGACATGTTGGACTTTTTATCCACGGCAAAGTGTTAGAGTCCTGGACCGAGTTCTAAAACCTTGATAAGGACCAAGCTAGACAAATATTTAGGACTACAGAGACTCTGATTACGAGAAGGGTGCAGTTGGCATACGGATGCATCAGTAACTGTAGAGGTAAGATGTACCTTCAAATTTTATCATGGTATATAATTTTGATGTAAAATGTTCTTAGGATTATTTTAAAATATTTTTTTATATCTAATAATAAAATTTTAAATTTAAAAAATGGTTAAAATCAAGTAGATCTATAAGCATATGAAAATCTTAAAAATGGAAGATGTAGATAATATGTTGTAAAATGCACTATTTCTGAGACTTAAAATATTTTTATTTTTCATGGTCATACATCTCGATGTCGAGATGATCAATTAAAGGAGTTTTCAACATTAAAACTACCTTTTCTGATAGATTTTTGTAGTGCATCCGTAGTTCTGCATTATAAGGTTGCATCCTTATATAAACTTTTTCCTTAACTAGAATGTCCTGGCGCACTCTAAAACTAATACCCCGTCTCCTTGACCACGAGGATGTCCTATTGAACTCTCAAACTAATACCAGCTCTCCATCTCTACTATAAGTTGATAAGGGAGACTTTGTCCATTTAGAGCCCGTTTGGTTCCCTAGAACCATGGAAATAGCCGGCAAAATATTGTTTGGATGCTCTTCTAGAACAAGAGTTTCATTTTTATGTGGAGACGGATTTTCGTGTTTCAACCCTTTTTTGTGGAAATATCAATTACACCAAAATAGGTGGAATTAACATTTCCTGAAGATTGAAAGAGAGCCACAAACCCCCAAAAATTTGCAGTAAATTATATTTTATAGAGTAAGTTGAAGCCCCACTAAAAAGAGGACCTCAAGCTAGAGTTGTAAAAATTATATTAAAAGATTGTATACAATGAGACTATTTATCTTTAGTATAAATAGGTCGCAATCATTTATAACCATTTGATGTAAAATCTAGTAGCTTAACTGTGTCACAAAGTTCGAAAAAATTTCATTCGAACTTTGAACTTGGTCAATAGAATAAATGCAGCCACCCAATTTTACATCCAAATATCAAGATTTATTTTGACTTCGTACCAAAGGTAAATAGTCTCATTATATATTTTTCTTTACATTAGTTAATATATAATAATTAATATATTTGAATAATAAATAACATATATTATATTAATTGATGTATTATCCAGTACAAATGTAAATAATAGTGATTTTATATTATAATTATAATTGACAAGATCTTATACAATATAAGTAATTTTGCATATAAGAATAGATATGTAATATTATAATATTATATAATATAGTATTATATAATTTTTGGGAGACGCGTTTTCAAAGCAATCCAAATAATGGGCAGACATCATCTAGGCCTTTTACCATATGCTATCCAAACAACAAACACCTATATTCTAGGATCTGTCAATTCCACGAGATATCAATGCCAAAAGAGACATCTTGCCAGGATACCCATTTCCAAGGGAACCAAACTGGACCTTAAGTAATATTCTATAGTCTTGTCGTCCATTGATGGGTGGTATGGGATGCGTTATGACAATTGTAACTCCCTCAAGATTGAAGAGACTCAAACTAAAGAGAAGAACCATCATTTAATCATAATAGAGGAATTCTATGATGAAAAATGCATCTTTAAAAAGTCCTAGATCTGAAATTTCACTGGTGCTGGCAATATGTTGGGCAGCTTGGTCAGGCCAGCCATGAAAAACTAGGCCACATAATATGGCCCGAGGTCAGGCCAAGCCCGACTAAACATGGGATGCGCCACAAGAGGGTTGTCCTGCTCTAACCAAGCCAAGGACTGGTCAGGTAGGGCTAGAGATGAGCCAGTATGGGCCCAACCTGTTGCCAACCTACTCTCACCATAAATTAGGTATAGCATAATGATGCTTTTATCTTATTTAAAAATAGTGACATGTTTCATGCTCTTTATGGAGTTAAAAGAGGTCATAGCACTAGCAGTAGGTCGGGCTAGCTCTGACCACACCTATTAGGTCAGCGTAAGCCTTGCCGAGGTCGGCCTGGCGTGGATAGCCTAGTTTAAACTTTGAACTTGATCAATGGAATAAATGCAGCCACCTAATTTTAAAAATAGTGACATGTTTCATGCTCTTTATGGAATTAAAAGAGGTCATAGGGCTAGCAGCAAGTTGGGCTAGCTTTGGCCACACCTATTCGGTCGGCCTAAGCCCTTCGGACCATGGTGTTCTGGCCATAAGTGGCCCCGACCATAAACTTTCTGGGTTGGGCTAACCACGCCAGGCCAGCCACCTGCCCATTGCTCCCTAAGAGGCGGTGCCCCTACAAATGTGATACAAATCATATATGAGATGTTCAAGAATAGACCGAATTAGAATTTTATTTTATTATTTTACTTTTATAAGGGATGTGGTTGAACTTGTTTCTGTATTTTTAGGGTTGTTGGAACTAATTTTGAGGGATAGCCATATAACGCATAAAAAGAGATTTTTGTTTTATGTCATTGGAAAATTTAAAGCATTGAGCATTTTAGTTTCTTTAAGATCGGTATGGGAGGTTGTCCTAGTTTCTAGGTTTGATGGTCCTATCTTGATGGGAATTGTTCACTAAAGTAGAAAGAGAATAATGGG